TGGGACAACCACTTTACAATATCATTATTATTATTTTTATTTTTTGGGGGTGGGGTAAGGCGGGGTAGAAGGATTACTTTATCCTATCCCAGGTATTCCTTAAAGAGGTGGGGTTTCAAGTGTCTCCGGAAGGTGGTGAGTGACTCTGCTGTCCTGGCGTCGTGAGGGAGCAGCGAACAGTTTTGACTGGGCTGAGCGGGAACTGTGCTTCCGCAGAGGTAGGGGGGCCAGCAGGCCAGAGGTGGATGAACGCAATGCCCTCGTTTGTGTGTAGGGACTGATCAGAGCCTGAAGGTACGGAGGTGCCGTTCCCCTCACAGCTCCATAGGCAAGCACCATGGTCTTGTAGCAGATGCGAGCTTCAACTGGAAGCCAGTGGAGTGTGTGGAGGAGCGGGGTGACGTGAGAGAACTTGGGAAGGTTGAACACCAGACGGGCTGCGGCGTTCTGGATGAGTTGTAGGGGTTTAATGGCACAGGCAGGGAGCCCAGCCAACAGCGAGTTGCAGTAATCCAGACGGGAGATGACAAGTGCCTGGATTAGGACCTGTGCCGCATCCTAAAAATAAGGAACGCTTCACGAATTTGCGTGTCATCCTAGCGCAGGGGCCATGCTAATATTCTCTGTATCGTTCCAATTTTAGTATATGTGTACCTACTATGCCTGTGATATGTGGTTGTCCCACTTAGCTATTTTAAGATGAACTGTAAGTCGCTCTGGATAAGAGCATCTGCTAAATGACTAAAATGTAAATGTACTATTTTTTTATTGTGAACTAATTTCTCTGGATGTTTTTAATCATGTACCCATGTGCTACATGCAATAGCAATAGGGTAAAACACTCTTATAGAGAAGACTAGAAAGGAGAGGAAATAAACATGTATCTAAATCAAAAACAGACAATGTGGGTATTATTCAGACATTAAAGTGAACCAAGCCCAATCCCTAAATGATTTAATATCCCTTATGACGCAGTATTTGCGTAGACTTATACTTCACTAGCCCTCTAATATTTCCATCACTTATTGTAATTATGAAAATAATTGACTTCATTGTCCCATCTCACCAATTGCATATAGGACCATAGAGAATACTGGGGAATAATGACACAACTAAATGGATGAAACACATACGCCTGTGCGCTCTCTCTCTCTCCGTGCACGCACGCACGCACACACACACACACACACACACACACACACACACACACACACACACACACACACACACACACACACACACACACACACACACACACACAGTGTGTAGCCGTACGGCCTGGGATAGCAGGAAGGCCCAAACACTTGTCTCCAAGGTGATGTCAACAGTATGAAAACAGATGAGGAAGCATGTGTGGAATTTTACAGTGTGGGCACCACTGCATCACTTCTTCCACCAGACTGTGTGTGTGGACGTGTTTAACTATACTTGTGGGGACCAGAAGTAACCAACTGGGGACATTTTGTGCGTCCCCACAAGGTCAAATGCTATTTCTAGGGGGTTTAGGGTTAAGGTTAGAATTAGGATTAGAATTAGGATCAGGAGCTAGGGTTAGGTTTAGGTTTAAGGTTAGGTTTTCAGGTTAAGGTTAGTGTTAGGATTATGGTTAGGGTACCGGTTAGGTTAAGGGTTAAGGAAAATAGGATTTTGAGGCAGCCTGCCACAGTGCTGACTGTCATGGCATTGTGTGATGGAACCATGGTAACACATCAGCCAAGACATAGGATGTGGAAGTGATCACACATCACAGGAGCTACCTATCAATCTACACTGAACAAATATATAAACGCAACATGTAAAGTGTTGGTCCCATGTTTCCTGAGCTGCAATAAAAGATCACAGAAATTGTCCATATGCACAAAAAACGTATTTCGATCAAATTTTGCACAAAGATTTTGCGCACAAATTTGTTTACATCCCTGTTAATGAACATTTCTCCTTTGCCAAGATAATCCTTCCCCCTGAATGTGCAGTTTTGTCACACAACACAATGCCACAGATGTCTCAAGTTGAGGGAGCGTGCAATTGGCATGCTGACTGCATGAATGTCCACCAGAGCTGTTGCCAGCGAATGTAATGTTCATTTCTCTACCAAAAGCTGCCTCAAACATAATTTTAGAGAATTTGGAAGTACGTCCAACTGGCCTCATAACCGCAGACCACGTGTAACCACGCCAGCCCAGGACCTCCACATCCGGCTTCTTCACCTGCAGGATCGTCTGAGACCAGCCACCCGGCTGGTCTATATTTTTTACATTTTCAAACGACTCCCAATGTTCAATTCCACGTCCACCCTTCCCACTGTTTCTACCTTTCTTTACTTACATTTATAATACTGTTGTTTGTTGTTATATCATATACTAAGCATTTAACAATTTAATTACACTTTGAACTTGATCCTGTAAAATATTGCTCTCAGACACTTTTTTGTATGGAGATCTCGGAAGTGCACTGTAACCTCGTAACATTTCATATCTCTCTATGTTTTGATGGGCACACATATATCGAAATAATGTATGCGATTGAAAAATCTAATGCTTCGAACAGAAATAATAACTTTAACATGATTAATAAAAAATAAAAATAAATGGGATACTGTCATTAAAGGGGTTCTTCAATGATTATGCGTAACAGTTGTTTGATGCGAATTTTATGTCTAGCTGTTTAGTTACGAGGGGACATTATCGCGTTACATCATCTGATTCAGGAAAGGATTTTCTGAATGACAGTCAAGTGATAATGAGCTCCTGTTATACCGCATGCGATTGAACAATAGCCAAAGTGCCAGGAATTAATGTTCTCGAGGAAGGACAAAACATTTGTGTCCATGTTAAGGCGGTCAAGATAATTAGCCTACTTCGTGGACAACATTAAGTCAAGATTCCTGAGATAAGATTACGGTCAGTGTACGTTTTGATCGTTTGTTTTCCGAGTTAAAATGGAGCAATAATGAATGTGAAAACGGCTAATTGTTTTGTTTTTTAATAAAAAATATAAAAAATTTAATGACTTGACATTTCGATTTTCACATGTGAGTGGTGTTAAATGTGGAATGCCTGTCATTGGTCAAGTGCACAGCTAACACTTCATGTCTTTTCAAAGTAGGCGTTCCCCCTTCCAACTCCATTCTATGAATCTATGATCTGTAGTTAATCTCTTCAACTACACAGAACTGCCTGATTAGCCTGATATGGTGCCGTGGGTGTGTCCAGATTACACCTGTGCGAATCTGTTTGTCCAGCAATGGAATTAAACATCCAACCATGCCTCAAGTGTTGTGCTGAAGGTCCACCACAAACTGGAAGGGTTGGGTTGTGTGGTCCGGTCCAGAAACAGCCCCTACCCCCTAGAGACTTGTGGAGATCTGGGCAGCAGGTAGTCAAGTGGTAAAGAGTGTTGGGCCAGTAACCGAAAGGTTGCTGGTTTGAATCCCTGAGCCGATTAGGTGAAAAATCTGTCAATGTGGCTTTGAACAAGGAATTTAACCCTAATTGTGCCTGTAAGTCGCTCTGGATAGGTGTGTTTGCTAAATGACAAAAATGTACAAATGTAAATTTGAGAGGATTGGACAGGTGCAAGCAATATGGCCAAAATTCCACCAAGCCAATCAGAGGGTAAAGGTGGAGCTTTCACCATGCCACCACCCATCAATCCCTCTCAGATCTCCACAAGTGTCTAGACTCTGGAGGGAAGGGGCTAGGGGTTGTTTCTGGACAGGCCAAGGGTATTATGGTAGCTCCCCCCCCCCCCCATGGGTTTTGAGGAGGCGAGAGGACGTGAGGATGCAATTGAGATTTCCCCCTTGTTTCCTCCATTCCTCACCTCCCTTTCAAAGAACATTAGGGGAGAGGAGTGAAGGTTTCTCTCCTCGGGCTCCAATGCACTTTCAAAGAGAGGCAAGGAGTGGAGGAAACAAGGACAGAGGAAGCAAGCGTTTGACGGCTAGTTTTTCAGATTCAGGCGCACGCACACACACAATGCTTGAAGAGTTTACTGATTATATAGATTTCATAATTATTATTATTAACGATTTTATTGACAGAACCTTGTTGTTGTTGCTAGGTGGGGTGATGGTCTCATTATGCCTACCTAGACTTTTATTCCTGTAACTACACATGTGAAACTGCAAGAAAATCATATTTAAACCTATATTACATTTTGTACAAGACACACATTGGCCCCTTTATTTGTAGAAAGACCCATATACACATATTACAGACACCACCAGTATGTACGGTATTTCCCTCATTAAAATGCAAATCAATTTATAACATTTTTGACATGCATTTTTCTGTCTCTCACTGTTCAAATAAACCTACCATTAAAATGATAGACTGATCATGTCTTCGTCAGTGGGCAAACGTACAAAATCAGCAGGGGATCAAATACTTTTTTCCCCTCACTGTATTTACCATCAATAACATACATTTTCTTCAAGTCTTGAAGTGTAAACAGTAAAGAGGTACAATAGAAAGTAGTTATTTTGTTTTATTCTACACACCAAACTAACAAAGGAATATAAAGTATCATGGAGTGTCTGTTGAGGTAAAAACATCACAGCTGTTGGCCCTAAATACACCCTCCCCTCCCTTCCCCTCCCACATGCAGTGCGGATATCAGGGAATTGTTAATGGTTTGTAACCCCATTTCAGCCAATCAGATGGCAGATCCCTCTGAACCTGTTTTATAAATACAGTTATTCACACCTGTTTTATAAATACAGTTATTCACAAGAAGAAATTACAGAAAAACATCCTTTCCATCTATCTTTCTGTAAGCATTTCAGTTTCAATATAAAAACTTTGGGGAAATACTAAGGTAGGTTCACTTTTTATGACATGATTATTTTGTTCTCAGAAAACTACACGCACGCACACTGACACACACACACCTGCATCTTAACTATTAGATACATTCACAGACTCAGTAAATCTGTAGCATGTTGTGCTTATAGGACCAGCCTATTAGTGGAACATGTGACATGATGGGGCCACGACCCATCAGAGAATGGTGTCCTCGCTCTCTTCAGAGTGTGTACTGTGCTGAGATTTGAGCTGTGACTTCCTCCGTGTTGTGATGGCCGCCCAGACGCGACACAGCATCCCTCCTCTGTGGAGGAGACACAGGAAGTTACAGTAAAAAAAAAAACATTACAGTACAGACCGTTTGTGTGTCCTTGTCCATGTGTGTGTGTCACATCCATACACCCTCACACTGCACAGAACAGTGGTCACATCCACATGTATACACATTGACACATATTATTTCAGCGATTCACAGTACAATAACATAACAACCATCCAAACAGAAAACAGTGGGTTTTCCTCATTAGCGCAGATCAGTTGTTTCCTGTTTCTGCTTTAAGGATGTGTGAACATGATTGGAGGAGGCAGTTCACCTTATGGCACAGTACATCAAGTCATCCCTGCAGGCCATGGTGAGGAGACAGTCCAAGGTGAACTCGTGAGAGAGTAACTAGAAACAAAAGCACAGAGTGTGAATTCTACTCACACAACATCAGTGAGAACAAGCCTCTAGCAAACACTGACTGAAACTGAGCTACCTTATAAAGATAATTTAGTCATAATGGATTACTTTTGTATATATTTTTCGTGGTATAGACTTTTGTGACTTGTCATATTATTATGACGTGTATAAGGCTCATTCTTTTCACCAGTTAGATGGTTCATTCCAATCACGTAGTTACCTATCAATCAATAGTCACCCCATATTTTGGTAACCAATCCCACATCATTAAATCACAAAAGTATTTTTGAAGTTCCTTACCTTGTCTATGGTGTCCTGATCTACTGGGATAGCCTTCAGCCAGAAAACCAAGGATTTGACTTCTGGGTTAGAACTTATCTGCAGGGACAACTCTGTATCTACAGGAGGATGAGAAGACAAGTTGGTATGGTCTGGTCACCAGTTCATGCTACTAAGCTGAACATTCTGAGTATTTCAAATGCAGATTTTCAGTAATGGTTAAGGTGTTAGACTGACAGTCACAGGGACTGAGGATGAATGTGCAGACATTAGCAACAGTCAGACTGCTTTGGGAGGGAGTAGGAGGTGAAAACATTACCTGTGGGTTCTGATGTTTTCCTGGTAGTGTCGATCTGATCCTGTCTCCTCTGGACAGAGTTCCTCAGTAGCTCCTGGTATTCCCTCTCTTTCTCACTCAGCTGGGTCAGCAGTCTGAAACACACACTTAGTCATTATGGACCAGGCCTGAAGTAACAGTACATTTCACTATTTACCCATATCACTTCACTGCCCATATTGTAACTGGTTGCAATCTAATCCTTGGTGGTGTGCTGGCATCGTTCACTGAATCTGTAGGAATTGCCTTCTTTTCTTTCCATTTTAAAGCCCATTATGCTAGAGGTGAAATAAAATGAAACCCCACATCAAATGTGGAATAAAGATTAAAATGGCAATACAAATGCATTTTTGTCATACCAATAAAGCATTTGGAAATGTAATATAAACAGCTAAGTAAATGGTACTGAACCTGCGAGTCTCTAGCCGTAGATCTCTCAGTTCGTGACTGAGGGGACAGTTAGTGTTGTACTGGAGGCCATTGGGCAAGCAAGGGCTTTCTCGAACCTCCTCTATGGTCTTTGTGTCAGCTGGCGCCACCACCTGGTCATCTGACAAAACTGCAGGCAGAGTCTCTGCTAGCTCACTGGGCTGCTGCTCTCTCTCTGGGCTACTCTCCTCCTTCTCAAAGGAAGACTGCAGCTGGAGCTTGAGCTCTGAAAGTCATCAAGGTGTGTGTGAGCAGGAGTGTGTGTGTGGTGTGTGGGGATTTGGGAGGTGGTGAGATTCTTATATACAGTATTATTTTTAATTATTATAATTTTTTGTACTTTTACCCCTTTTTCTCCCCAATTTTCATGATATCCAATTGGTAGTTACAGTCTTGTCCCATCGCTGCAACTCCCCTACGGACTTCGGTGAGGCGAAGGTTGAGAGCCATGCGTCCTCCGAAACACGACCCTGCCAAGCCGCACTGCTTCTTGACACACTGCTCGCTTGACCCGAAAGCCAGCCGCACCAATGTGTCGGAGGAAACTCCGTCCAACTGGCGACCGAAGTCAGCTTACCGCCACAAGGAGTCACTAGAGCGCGATGGGACAAGGAAATCCCGGCCAGCCAAACCCTCCTCTAACCCGGACGACGCTGGGCCAATTGTGCGCCACCTCATGGGTCTCCCGGTCATGGCTGGCTGTGACACAGCCTGGGATCGAACCCGGGGCTGTAATGACTCCTCAAGCACTGCAATGCAGTGCCTTAGGCTGCTGCGCCACTCGGGAGGCAGAGGTAGTGAGGTTTTTGAATGGCGGGGATGGACTCAATTCCAAATTCCAGTCATATCATGAAATTGAACTGTAGTTCTATAAGGAATTTCCATGTCCAATTTAACTGATAGAAGTTGATAGAATTGGGCCCGACTCTGCTGGTTCTTACCTGGTAACAGTACAGTGATGGCGTCCTGCACGGCCTGCCTTAGCAGGTTATCCAGAGCAAACATCCAGTGAGGTTTCACCTGCTGCTGCCTCAACACCTTTTTCACCTGCACACACGAGGGAGTGAGAAGAACGGGTTAGCACAACAGTATTGGGTGTGATGCAGAGCCTGTGGTCGAGTGGTAAAACTCCTGGCTATTGACACATACATTATATTTTTTTAATTTTCATACGACTCCCAATGTTCAATCCCACGTCCACCCTTCCCACTGTTTCTCCATCCTTGCCTTGTGATCACTAACTATCTCATACCTGGGGAACCATGTGTGTGAAATATATGGCCAATCAATGACAGTACGTCATCTTTCACATGCCAGGGAGAAATGGAAACTGGCAGGGCTACTGTCCTCAAGGACTGGCGTTGCAACTCCTGGGTAATGTTCATTATGTACCAAATGAAAAAGAACAGGGAGGGACTACCTGGACTAGTCCAATAAGATGCACCATTTTTTAGTTGCAAGATGTTTGATAATGTTTTCCGTTGCGTGCCCTAATGAACACAAACAACCCTGATCTCCAGTGACCTACCGCGTCCTGGAAGCTGAAGAGCACTGCTTGCAGGTTGTTGAGGGGTACTGCAGTAGCAAGCAGTGTGGAGCGCAACTTCACCAGGCCCTTGGTCAGGTGCCTTCTGTCTGGAGAGCGGATGTTCTCCCGCAGGCAGCCAATCAGCTCAGAGATATGCTCTGAGGTCACGGACGATACGTCTGTCTGCTTAGAGGCAAGGAGAGAGGAAACATTATAAAAGGATTATAGGCAAAGAAACCTACAAATGTCAAATGTAGACAAACACTCATTATTTCACACCTAACATGTACAGCAAACACCTGATAAGGGTATACTCAGTCTAAGTGCCTTGTGGTCCTTTGTAGCTCAGTTGGTAGAGCATTGGTGCTTATAACGCCAGGGTAGTGTGTTCGCTTTCCCGGGACCACCCATACGTAAAATGTATGTGCGCATGACTTTAAGTCTGCTAAATGGCATATATTATTATTATTATTTCACCATACATTGTCTTTAGGCATGCTCCGATCGGTTGAGTGCATGCCCTCATAACAATCCTAAGCCATTGCATTTATCAGGAGTTGACTGTATCTCAATAAGGGATAGATACTTCTCTGGGCCCATATTCAAAAAGCGTCAAAGAGTAGAAGTACTGATCTAAGATCAGGTCCATCCGGTCTTATTTATTATGATCTAAAAGGCCAAACTGATCCTCGAACAGTACTCCTACTCTGACACTCTTGATACATACAGACCAAGATCTCTCTCTCTCTCTCTCTCTCTCTACCTGAGGTAATGTATTCTGGATGTTGTGCACCACGTCGGTGATGTACTCAGTGAGGATCCTGTGCAGTGTGGCCCTCCTCTCGCTGTCCTTCCTCAGTAGGAACAGGCCCAGGTTCTCCCCTGACGTGGCTGGACTAGCCGTCATGTCCACAGTACTGGGCTCCTCTGACACCCTGGCCACCACAAGGGGGAGACAGAGAGACACCAATGTCACTGAGATAAAACATTCTGCCATACAAATATGGTCTTGGCAATATATAGCATGGGCTCTATCTCAATTGGTTGAAAATCTGACCTCTCCTCTACTCCTCCCTTCTATCTGCAGTGATTGGAAAATAAGACAATATGGTGGAAGCTGGATTTCTCTGACAATTTAGGTTATCTATTGCATTAGATTGCATTTACAGTAAGGCAATGATCTACAATGAAGTTGTTTCACAAATCTGATGTAATTAAATTGGGAACCAGAGGGTATAGCATGTTTTGACTCACGGCAGGAAGCCTCTGGTGCTGGGTTGGCTCTCTGTGATGTAATTTCCTCTGAGGGGAGAGATAGTCCTCCGGAGGTCCCAGGAGCACGACAGGTCCATCCTGTCAGCGTCCCTGTCTGTATCTGTCACACGTATAGACACTGGGACAGACATACTCCGCTGGTAGATGTCACCTACAGGACACAAAGCAGGGCAGAGTCATTAGCACCGTAATGGTGACGGAAATGGCGATGATCATAGCGTTTCTGAATTAGGAAGACAATACACAGACAAGGGCAATAATAATTAATATTTCTGACAATTATGAAAATAATGAATAATAAGTCTGGCGATTGAAACTATAATGATGATTATTCTTTTTTTCCTTTTTTAAAAGGAGATCGAAATTCAGATCCCGTTTTGTATTTTATATGTATTTTTAAAAGAAGCAGAGACGGATAGACAGATAGACAGAGAGACATAGACAGATAGACAGATAGACAGATAGACATAGTAGAGGGCACAAATAGGAGTGGCCAAGAAAGGGCGTGCGTTCCCATCGTCGGGTGGTATGTGGTCCGGAGTAGGCAGTGCTACCACAAGACCAGACTCTGGCACTGATGATGATTGATGATGATAATGATGACTATAAAAATGATGATGACGATAACTATGATGATAATGGTGATTAAAATAACATGAATCTATAACTATAACAATGATGATTCACCAGCATCCGTAGGCAGTGTGTCAGGCTGGGGCTTGGCCTTCCTCCGGGAGGTGGACTTGAGGAAGGAGTCCTTGAGCAGCTCAGAGGCCGTGGCTCTGTTGTCTGGGTCCGGGGTGAAGCAGCTCATGATGCAGCCTTTGGCCTCACCTGACATACACTCCGGCACCTCCGGGTGGATCTTGAACATACCAACCTAGAGGGAGACGGGAACAGAGTACGTACACTTCAGGGTTATGTTCAGTAGGGCATGCAACGTAAAAAACGTTTTGCAACGGAAACTGAGTTTCTTATTGGACAAGTTCAGGTAGACCCTATCTGTTTCAGTCTGTCTTCAGTTTGATGCTTTATGAACACAACCCTGGTTTCAGCTGGTAAAATTCTTTACAGTCCAGTATTTACCTAGTATTCAGAGGTACCTTACAAGGTATAGGCTACAATGTAATAACATACTAATTACCAAACCTTTTGGTTTCTAAGAGAAAGATTACCTTGAACATTGCTGCCTGTGGGCTGCCCAGCTCGTGGAAGGGTGGTTTCCCTGTGGCCATCTCTATGATGGTACAGCCCAAGGACCAGATGTCTGCAGGCTTCCCATAACCCCGCGGGCCCTGGTCGATGATCTCTGGAGCCATGTACTGCAGGGTCCCTACAACACCACAGAGACATTTAGACACCTGCCTCCACAAACATGTAGGCAACACATGTAAATAATATTCATACCAACAAAGTGAAATATAATGTTCATATGCAAAAAGCATGGCCACATACTCAACCACACTCATACAAAAGCTTCAAAACACACCCACCCACACACACACCCCCACAAACCTGTAAAGGTCTCTGTGCAGGGGTTGATTCCCGCCAGTCGTTTCGAGGTGCCAAAGTCAGAGATCTTCAGAACACCACTGTAGGTGTTAATCAGCACGTTGTCACCCTGTGAGGAAATGACTAGTTTCTTACACTTGATACACTTTCTGCACAAAACATGGTAACACATTTGTAGTTGGGTAAGCAACATACACCAGGGTCATGCTCAGTAGGGCACAACGTAGCAAAACGATTTGAAATGGAAAACAAAAAGGAGTGTTTCTTAAGTCCAGGAAGTCCCTCCCTGTTTCACTCAGTTTTCTGCCGTTTGGTCCCTAATGAACACGACCCAGCTCTGACAATGTGAATAAAAATCTGCTGTGGCATTGGTACTTTTTTGAACATTTATTTAGCAACAACAACAAATGGTAATCTTGCTGACACCTCACCTTGATGTCTCTGTGGACTATCTGGTTGTCATGGAGATACTTAAGCCCTTCCAGGATCTGCTTGGTGTAGAAAATGATGGTGGCCTCATTGTCTTTCAGGGGTCCCCATTTGGAACGCAGGAGAGAGGACAAGCTTCCTACATGGGAGAGATGACATTGGAATGGGTTACGGTTAGATATGCAAGGGATTCAATTTAGGATTTGCAACACCTCTGGGCCTCATTTCCCAGTTGCAATGTAACTTAAGCATTACGATGACGTACCAGATGCATCGTTATTTACGAGCCAATGACAGTGTTTCCCAAACAACTTAGTGCGTCGTTATACCACGTGTCGATAGTGATAGGATCGAAAGAAAAGCACCGCTGCTTTCGGAACAGATTTCTCCATTCAAATCTTAACATTAGAATGATTCCACAATACTGACCAAGGATCAGCTCCTAGAGAAATATTACCACCTACGGCTGCAAATTGGCTATTGAGGCGGCTTATTATGCTTACCCAATAATAATTCACTAAATCACCGATTGGGCACATCATTGAGCACATGTTGTCACACATCATGAAACACTTTGAAGCAAAAATGACAGACAATATCCTAGACGCAAAATAGAACTCAATTGATTTAACATGACATTGATTTCAATATGATTGAAATAGCCTATGTAGGCTATGTATCTTTTAATGCAGTCATCTCGGTTTTCATTCGATGCATACTTTTATTCTTCACTTGTTTGTAACAATTGCAAATACTTTGGCAACTTTGTATTTGTAGTCATCTTGGTTCTGAGGATATCGGCAGTCCCAGTCAGACAGATAGCATAAACATCTTGATTCTATGTTTAGCAAAGATCTTCAAGATCTTTAGCAAATAATAAAGTGATGCGAAAGGGCAAAAAAGCATCGAACGATGCACTTTGGCTGCTCTACGAGTGGTCTGAATCACTAGATGTGCCACATTACTAACGAAGGCTCTGGGAAACACCTCGGCTTATAAAGATACATCGTAAGAAGGTTCTAACGATGATCTTAGCGCTATGAAGGCTCTGGGAAACAAGGCCCAGGATATTCACAATGATAAGATGTCTGAAGTATTTTCACTTTTTATAACACTGGTATATCAGTGACTTCATTGTATTGTGAAATCCATTTTTCTCAATTGTTGGGATACTGGAAACACCCACACTTCCTGTGTGATATCCTGCCTGTAGCTATTGCACTGAATTAGACACACACACACACACACACACACACACACACACACACAAACACGCAGACACACAAACACCAAAAAGACCTCCAGACACAGACTTCCTAGAAACTAAAATACGATCATTTCGTAACATTATGGTGGTTTTCACTAACCCTTCACAAACGCATGTAGCTGAAATTGTAGGGTGTGATTTGTGCCGTCCTTTTCATAATGATAACATGTGAATGCTATCCCCTCCTTTTTATTCCCACTTATGTGATTGCTCCATACTGAGTCAGTGATGCTTCCCAACATAGGTGTAATGACAACGCCTCTTCCCCCTCAGGAGGCTGAAAATATTTGGCTTCTCTCTGCTACTGCACTGCAAGCGGTAACGGAACACCAAGTCTGGGACCAAAAGGCTCCTGAACAGCTTCTACACCCAAGCCATAAGACTGCTGAACAGTTACTCAAATGGCTACCCAGACTATTTATAGTGCATTCGGAAAGTATTCAGACCCCTTGACGTTTTCCACTTTGTTATGTTACAGCCTTATTCTAAAATTGATTAAATAGATTTTTCGTCATAAATCTACACACAGTACCCCATAAGGACAAAGCAAAAACAGGTTTTAGAAATGTTAGCAAATGTATTAAAAATACAAACGGAAATATTATATTTACATAACTATTCAGACCCTTTACTCAGTACTTTGTTGAAGCACCTTTGGCAGCGATTACTGCCTCGAGTCTTCTTGGGTACGTATGACGCTACAAGCTTGGCACACCTGTATTTGGGGAGTTTCTCCCATTCTTCTCTGCAGATCCTCTCAAGCTCTGTCAGGTTGGATGGGGAGTGTCACTGCACAGCTATTTACAGGTCTTTCCAGAGATCAGGTTCAAGTCTGGGCTCCTGCTGGGCCACTTAAGGACATTCAGAGACTTGTCCGAAGCCACTCCTGCATTGTCTTGGCTGTGAGTTTAAGGTCGTTGTCCTGTTGGAAGGTGAAGCTTCACCCCAGTCTAAGGTCCCGAGTGCTCTGGAGCAGGTTTTCATCAAGGATCTCGCTGTACTTTGCTCCGTTCATCTTTCCCTCGATCCTGACTATTCTCCCAGTCCCTGCCGCTGAAAAACAGACGTGACGCTTGGCATTCAGGCCAAAGAGATCAATCTTGGTTTCATCAGTCCAGAGAATCTTGTTTCTCATGGTCAGAGTCCTTTAGGTGCCTTTTGGCAAACTCCAAGCGGGCTGTCATGTGCATTACTGAGGAGTGGCTTCCGTCTGGCCACTCTACCATAAAGGCCTGATTGGTGGAGTGCTGCAGAGATGGTTGTCCTCCTGGAAGGTTCTCCCATCTCCACAGAGGAACTCTGGAGCTCTGCCAGAGTGACCATCGGGTTCTTGGTCGCCTTCCTGACCAAGGCCCTTCTCCCCCAATTGCTCAGTTTGCCCGGGCGGCCAGCTCTAGGAAGAGTCTTGGTGGTTCCAAACTTCTTCCATTTAAGAATTATGGAGGCCACTGTGTTCTTGGGGACCTTCAATGCTGCAGACATTTTTTGGTACCCTTCCCCAGATCTGTGCCTCAACACGATCCTGTCTCGGAGCTCTACAGACAATTCCTTCGACTTCATGGCTTGGTTTTTGTTCTGACATGCACTGTCAACTGTGGGACCTTATCTAGACAGGTATGTGCCTGTCCAAATCATGTCCAATCAACTGACTTTACCACAGGTGGACTCCAATCCAGTTGTAGAAACATCTCAATGATGATCAATGGAAACAGGATGCACCGGAGATCAATTTCGAGTGTCATAGAAAAGGGTCTGAATACCTATGTAAATAAGGTATTTCCGTTTTTTATTTGTAATAAATTTGCACAAAAAAAACATGTTTTCGCCTTTTCATTATGGGGTAGTGTGTGTAGATTGAGATGTTTTTTTTTTGTTTGATTTTTTAAAATCAATTTTAGAATAAGGCTGTCATGTAACAAAATGTGGAAAAGTCAAGGGGTCTGAAAACTTTCCGAATGCATTGACCCCCATTTTTTTGTTTTTTTTTGCACTGACATTCTTGCACTGGCTCTCTGCACACTCACTGGCCTCTACCCACAGACTCACGCATACTACACTGACACTCCCACAAACACACACGCGCACACACACACACATATTGACGCCACACACACTCACAGACACACACGCTGCTGCTACTCTGTTTATTATCTATCCTGATTGCCTAGTCACTTTTATCCCTACCTACATGTACATATTACCTCAACTACTTCATACCCCTGCACATTGGCTCAGTACTGGTACTTCTTGGACAGTGGGGGAAAAAAGTATTTAGTCAGCCACCAAGTGTGCAAGTTCTCCCACTTAAAAAGATGAGAGAGGCCTGTAAATTTTCATCATAGGTACACGTCAACTATGACAGCCAAAATGAGAAGAAAAAAATCCAGAATATCACATTGTAGGATTTTTTATGAATTTATTTGCAAATTAGTATTTGGTCAATAACAAAAGTTTCTCAATACTTTGTTATATACCCTTTGTTGGCAATGACACAGGTCAAACGTTTTCTGTAAATCTTCACATGGTTTTTACACACTGTTGCTGGTATTTTGGCCCATTCCTCCATGCAGATCTCCTCTAGAGCAGTGATGTTTTGGGGCTGTCGCTGGGCAACACGGACTTTCAACTCCCTCCAAAGATTTTCTATGGGGTTGAGATCTGGAGACTGGCTAGGCCACTCCAGGACCTTGAAATGCTTCTTACGAAGCCACTCCTTCGTTGCCCGGGCGGTGTGTTTGGGATCATTGTCATGCTGAAAGACCCAGCCACGTTTCATCTTCAATGCCCTTGCTGATGGAAGGAGGTTTTCACTCAAAATCTCACGATACATGGCCCCATTCATTCTTTCCTTTACACGGATCAGTCGTCCTGGTCCCTTTGCAGAAAAACAGCCCCAAAGCATGATGTTTCCACCCCCATGCTTCACAGTAGGTATGGTGTTCTTTGGATGCAACTCAGCATTCTTTGTCCTCCAAACACGACGAGTTGAGTTTTTACCAAAAAGTTCTATTTTGGTTTCATCTGACCATATGACATTCTCCCAATCCTCTTCTGGATCATCCAAATGCACTCTAGCAAACTTCAGACGGGCCTGGACATGTACTGGCTTAAGCAGGGGGACACGTCTGGCACTGCAGGATTTGAGTCCCTGGCGGCGTAGTGTGTTACTGATGGTAGGCTTTGTTACATTGGTCCCAGCTCTCTGCAGGTCATTCACTAGGTCCCCCCGAGTGGTTCTGGGATTTTTGCTCAAATTTCTTGTGATCATTTTGACCCCACGGGGTGAGATCTTGCGTGGAGCCCCAGATCGAGGGAGATTATCAGTGGTCTTGTATGTCTTCCATTTCCTAATAATTGCTCCCACAGTTGATTTCTTCAAACCAAGCTGCTTACCTATTGCAGATTCAGTCTTCCCAGCCTGGTGCAGGTCTACAATTTTGTTTCTGGTGTCCTTTGACAGCTCTTTGGTTTTGGCCATAGTGGAGGTTGGAGTGTGACTGTATGTCTTTTATACTGATAACAGGACAATGACAGGTGTCTTTTATACTGATAACAAGTTCAAACAGGTGCCATTAATACAGGTAATGAGTGGAGGACAGAGGAGCCTCTTAAAGAAGAAGTTACAGGTCTGTGAGAGCCAGAAATCTTGCTTGTTTGTAGGTGACCAAATACTTATTTTCCACTATAATTTGCAAATATATTAATTAAAAATCCTACAATGTGTTTTTCTGGATTTTCTTTTCTCAATTTGTCTGTCATAGTTGACATGTACCTATGATGAAAATTACAGGCCTCTCTCATCTTTTTAAGTGGGAGAACTTGCACAATTGGTGGCTGACTAAATACTTTATTATAATTTAATTGTGTTACAATTTCCTTTTTTTGGCCATTTCCTTTTATTTCTTATTTTTTACTCTGCATTGTTAGGAAAAGGCTTGTAAGTAAGCATTTCACAGTAAAGTCTACACCTATTGTATTGCACGTGACAAATAACATTTGATTTGAATGACAGTTTCATATTTAGGGGAGCAGAGAAAGATGAGCAATACTGAAAGTATTGATGCGAGAATGAGTGAATACAGTACCAGAGTGTGTGAGTGGTGGAGAGAGAATGAGTGAATACAGTACCAGACTGTGTGAGTGGTGGAGAGAGAATGAGTGAATACAGTACCAGACTGTGTGAGTGGTGGAGAGAGAATGAGTGAATACAGTACCAGAGTGTGTGAGTGGTGGAGAGAGAATGAGTGAATACAGTACCAGACTGTGTGAGTGGTGGAGAGAGAATGAGTGAATACAGTACCAGACTGTGTGAGTGGTGGAGAGAGAATGAGTGAATACAGTACCAGAGTGTGTGAGTGGTGGAGAGAGAATGAGTGAATACATTTACATTTACATTTACATTTTAGTCATTTAGCAGACGCTCTTATCCAGAGCGACTTACAGGAGCAATTAGGGTTAAGTGCCTTGCTCAAGGGCACATTTACGTCATTTAGCAGACGCTCTTAAACAGAGCGACTCACAAATTGGTGCATTCACCCTATAGGCAGTGGGATAACCACTTTACAATGTTTGGGGGGGGGGGGGGGGGTAGAAGGATTACTTTATCCTATCCCAGGTATTCCTTAAAGAGGTGGGGTTTCAAATGTCTCCGGAAGGTGGTGAGTGACTCCGCTGTCCTGAATACAGTACCAGAGTGTGTGAGTGGTGGAGAGAGAATGAGTGAATACAGTACCAGACTGTGTGAGTGGTGGAGAGAGAATGAGTGAATACAGTACCAGACTGTGTGAGTGGTGGAGAGAGAATGAGTGAATACAGTACCAGACTGTGTGAGTGGTGGAGAGAGAATGAGTGAATACAGTACCAGACTGTGTGAGTGGTGGAGAGAGAATGAGTGAATACAGTACCAGAGTGTGTGAGTGGTGGAGAGAGAATGAGTGAATACAGTACCAGAGTGTGTGAGTGGTGGAGAGAGAATGAGTGAATACAGTACCAGACTGTGTGAGTGGTGGAGAGAGAATGAGTGAATACAGTACCAGACTGTGTGAGTGGTGGAGAGAGAATGAGTGAATACAGTACCAGACTGTGTGAGTGGTGGAGAGAGAATGAGTGAATACAGTACCAGAGTGTGTGAGTGGTGGAGAGAGAATGAGTGAATACAGTACCAGACTGTGTGAGTGGTGGAGAGAGAATGAGTGAATACAGTACCAGACTGTGTGAGTGGTGGAGAGAGAATGAGTGAATACAGTACCAGACTGTGTGAGTGGTGGAGAGAGAATGAGTGAATACAGTACCAGACTGTGTGAGTGGTGGAGAGAGAATGAGTGAATACAGTACCAGACTGTGTGAGTGGTGGAGAGAGAATGAGTGAATACAGTACCAGACTGTGTGAGTGGTGGAGAGAGAATGAGTGAATACAGTACCAGAGTGTGTGAGTGGTGGAGAGAGAATGAGTGAATACAGTACCAGTGTGTGAGTGGTGGAGAGAGAATGAGTGAATACAGTACCAGACTGTGTGAGTGGTGGAGAGAGAATGAGTGAATACAGTACCAGAGTGTGTGAGTGGTGGAGAGAGAATGAGTGAATACAGTACCAGAGTGTGTGAGTGGTGGAGAGAGAATGAAAGGCGAATGAGTAGTAGAGAGACACACAAACTGAATACTGAAACCATTAGCTATATGGCAGTTTAAAAGTTAAAAAAGGACAGTATAAGATTAGCAAAACTTCTGTTAGTGAGAGAGTGAATGAATACTGTACATACTGAGTGAAGGAGTGATAGAGAGAAAGACTGAAAGACAGACAAATCATTTGTAGTAGAGAGAGGCACAAAAGTTGAAATTTGAACACTGAATAAACTGGTTCAATGTGACCTGGTTTATGGGACAATAGAAACAGAATGAGATTTAATCTAGAATATATTTGAAATAGATTCTATTTCTATGCTCTGTACCTCCAGGAACCTCCTCCATAAAGATCTTGATGAAGCCGTCCTGACTCAGAGAGCCCAGGTACTGAACGATGTTCCTGTGCTTCAGCCTCTTGTGCAGAGCCATCTCCTCATGCAGAGGCTGGGAGTAACTGAGATTCACACAGAGATGGTGAGAAAACCAACAGTTAGCATTGGCACTAGATTAGCATAGCATTAGCACATTAGCAAATGGGACAGTGTACATCTGCCATTATAACAACATTGCTACAAAACATAAACGATGTTAGCGCTAGCTGTGCTGTCATTGAAAAACAACATAAAATTCACACACTCTAATCTTGCAGTTGTGCTGACATTGACATGGTGTAGCTGTGACCCATATATACTGTATGAATATGATGAGAGCTTTACAAGCACCCGTAAGTACTAACATTTCTTCAACTATGGGGCTAAGGTCTTAGTCGAGGTCGAAGGCTCGTAAACAAGGAATGGGAAAAATCTAAATAGACATCCATCTCTTCAGGGAGTAGATTCCAGTGTAGAGCTATGGGGACACTGGACAAATTGTTTTCCTCCACAGAGAAACATTACACATTTGGCATGCTGAGGAAAACATCTGTACATTCATCATTTTCATCGTTTCGCTCACAATTGTATAATATATTATGCGTATTAGGCTAAAATAATAATTCGGATTTACGGTATAATGTGCAAAGAAATGTAGCCTGGTCACAGATCTGTTTGTGCTGTCGTGTGAACAACTATGGTCATTCTTTGACAAAACAGCAAAAACAGATCTGGGACCAGGCAAAAAAAAAAGAAGGGGAAATGTGTTTTCCATACGTGCTGTCTTTCTCTGGGATCTCCTTTATGGCGATGCGGACTTGGTTGCTCAGGTCCCTCCCAGCATACACCACGCCATAGGTTCCTTTACCCAGAACCACCTTCTCTCCATTTTCGCTGGTCTCATAGATAAACTGCAGGAGGTAAGGGAGAAGGTTTCATTCAACAGGAAGATGGGTGTGAAACTAAATGTGTGTGTGTGTCATTGAAAATGTGTTTTAGAGAGTGTGTGGGTTAGAAATATTGCAAAGAATGTCACAAGCAACCACAACAGAAAACGTTGAGTGAGAGCGCAAAGCGATGGAACAATGTTCATTTAGAGACCTTCTGCTGCTCTGAACTAAAGTGAACTGAAATACTATTTGAAATTATTTCAAATAGTATTTGAACCCAGGTCTGCTGGAATGAGTCCAATGTTCTGTGAATACCAGGAACTTAACACAGACAAAAATGAGGGGTCGGGAATACGGTAAACATATCACTACTTGGGCAACGGTTAAGGGAAACATTTCACCTTTTGACCCCATCATGACAGGGCTTGTTTGTGTACTGGTAGGGTAGAAGGGGGGGTCAAAAATAGAAAAGCAGCCTCGAGAGGGAGGATTCTAGGATTCTACGGCCCTCTCTCAATTTGTCTCTCCGCAATTCCTTGAATCCTTTCTCCTCACCTCCTTTTCAACTGTATTGGAGGAGAAGGTCCAATGTCTCTCCCCCCGAACCTTTCCAATGCGTTTTCAGAAGGAGGCAAGAAGAGAGGAAATCAAGGAAAGATTAATTGAGAAAGAAACCTAGCTGACCTCCAGTAATCCTCCAGTGAGCTCGCTGGGGTACTCCACTGGGGCTTCTGCCTGGCTTAGGAGAGAGTTGACCAGCTCACAGAACCTGATGGAGCAATAGCACACACAAGAAACTAAATCATATAGAAAAACTGTTCAAATACATGTGAGCATCTCACATCTCAGTCAGAGTCATATATTCATGGACCTCACAGGATAATCAGAGATAAGACCTGCTGAAACACACACAATCAAATTCAGTACACAGCACTGTTATCAACTTATATGTCATGACGTATTAAGGTGACCTTTTGATTGCAAGTTATTTGCCTTTCACTGATTCCGCAAATACTACTATGAAAACCACTTCCTATTTCCTTCCTTCTCAGAAAGTCTTGGAATTGACTGTATCCCAATACACAACACCTACCTAATAATGTACTGTATTAGCACACAATGTAAAATTCACACATCTATTAATCCACACAGAAAGGGGAGTGTGAAGCAGGCTCTATTTTCACTACGCCAGAGTAAAATAAACATTAACAGAGTTGTCATGTCAACACAATCCAATAATGTGATAATGGTTGAATGAACAGGCCCAATCTGTATGTTTTATGTGAAGAATGAATCAAAGGTTGATATGGTTGGTTGTTACAGCCCTTCCTGCTAGACAGCTGTGTGTGTGTGTGTGTGTGTGTGTGTGTGTGTGTGTGTGTGTGTGTGTGTGTGTGTGTGTGTGTGTATGTGCAAGTGTGTGTGACTCACCCTTTACAGTGCAGCTCGCTGGGAAAGCAGAGTTGGAAGTCATCTGAGTTCTCCAGGACATACAGGAAGCAGCTACGTTCGTCAAACTTTGAAACACTGAACAGGTCAAAAGGTTAAAGTGGGGGATTAGGAACTACTCAACACTTCAAAGCTGACAGCGGCATCACAATGTAATAACAACAAGTATACTCAAAATACCAATGCAGGCAAACAAAGTTAAGGGAATATAAATAAGGACAAGAAAAGCCCATAATAACACATTCAATATGGGGCACTCCAATTCAGAGAATAACGTTTTCTTTCTATCTCGTGTAGAGTTGAAATACTGATACGTTTGAAGCCACCAGGTGATAGTGTTGCAAATATAAACTGAAAGGAAACTGCCCTGGAGGCAGTTCGGTAGGCAAAACAAGGGTAAAGCACACAGTGATATTGATCCACAGCCAAACAGACACTGACACACACACACACACACACACACACACACACACACACACACACACACACCACACACACACACACCACACACACACACACACACACACACACACACACACACACACACACACACACACACACACACACACACACACATCCAGTCACAGTCTTTGAAAACAGCACAGACAAAGACGCCCTGATGGCCAGTGGCCAAGTCCACCAGACAGTTAAAGTGTATAGACTCAGTAGACATCAAGCTGCATTCAAATACTATTTGAAATCCTTTCAAATCCTTTAGCTGGGCTTGATTGAGCTTGCCTGGCACAATGGAACCAATAGAGTAGTCGCAAACCTGCAAACTCCGCCCATCTGGAAGTCCAGGCAGGCTAAAGCAAACGCTGAAAGATTTCAAATAGTATTTGAACTTAGGTCTGTTAGACTAGCCCTGGTGATGTGTATGGGCTGCAGGCCTGAACACGACATGCATCACAGGGCCAGGAACTTAGCCTAGAAATGTTAGCACACTCTGTACTGTCTGTTACCGTACCTCACTCCCCGGATTTGCGAGGCTGGGAAAGTCCACTGGGCTTTCTGGCCTTTCTATGGAAGGGAAGACATGGCAGACTGTTCAAAATGCTCACTCAACAGTCTAAACACACAAAGTATGCACGCGCCTGCACACACACGCAGGCGCACACGTACCCTCCTCAGGCGATGAGGCATATCTTCTTTCCCCTCACCGACGTGGTGCTGTTATGAAAACACTCCACGCCTATTCTGGTTAAATACACCATTCTGTCTCACACCATTCCTGTTTAACCACTTTTAATGTCTTGATAGGTTGAAAACTGTAGACCTGTACAGTATAACTCAGTAGTTAAATAGCTGGTCCCAGATCTGCTTGTGCTGTATAGCCAACTCTTATGGTCATTGTCATGCCAAACATGGTCTGTACCTTTAGGGGTGTGATGTGGTGGAGCTGAACCGTGCAGCTGTCATCCTCCTCACTCACACACACTATGGTGGGCTGCAACACTTTGGTCGGCTCCAGGATCAGAACCTGAGGAACGGCAATGGTTAATGGTGATAACAGTTCTTGGCATTAAAAGGTTACTTTTCCAAATACTTTTGCTGCAGAAAGGTACTGTACATTGTTACAATTATCTAACCATGTAATGTAAAATAGGCCCCTGACGGTGCAGTTAAATCCATGTTAAAGCAAATGTTTTTTACTGCACTGCATTTGAACGCCCAGAACTGTTATATACTAGACAGAGAGAATCTATTGAGGTCTCACAAAGCAATGTGGGTTTGAGGAACTGGGAGTACTGGGAGTGGTGGAGTCTGACAGAGTGTCTTAGCAACATGCTGCTATGCTCTAACTAAATAAAGCTGAATGTACTGGGAGCTGTGGTGAGGTCTTACTGGGCAGCGGTCAGTGGAAACAGTGGGCTTGCAGGCTTGCAGCATCAGCTCCATCCAGAAGTCCACAGTCTCCTGTTTAGCAGGTTTCACCTCTGGGGGCTTGGTGAACTGACGGTACAAGATGTACGTCTCCATGATCGAGCCCACATACCTCAAAAGAAAGATGCAAATAAGTATTTGAATATCAAAATAAAGTTCAAAACATTGACCTTAAAGAGGCCATACCAAACTTTTGCTTAGGGGAAAGGGGTCCTCTAAATGGACAGTATATTTAACATTAAAGGTCCCGCATAGTCAAAATCAAGTTTTTCATCAAATGGATGAAACCAGATCAAAGTAGGATGACCAAAGTATGAAAAATGGCTGTTGCTGGTATATTGATCAAGTCTGATCATAAAGTTACTGGTCCCCTCCCCATGTCAAAAACTTGAATTCAGATGGCGGGATTATTTAGGGCTTCGTGTGACATCACAAAGCCCTCATTTTAATACACCAATGGTTAACTTATTCTCTTACCTAATTTAAATAAGTACCGCCTCGTAAGTGGTCTAAGGCACTGCTTCGCAGTGCTAACTGTGCCACTAGAGATCCTGGTTCGAATCCAGGCTCTGTCGCAGCCGGCCGCGACCGGGAGACTCATGGGCGGCGCACAATTGGCCCAGCGTCGTCCAGGGTAGGGGAGGGAATGGCCGGCAGGGATGTAGCTCAGTTGATAGAGCATGGCGTTTGCAACGCCAGGGTTGTGGGTTCGATTCCCACGGGGGGCCAGTATAAAAAAATAATAATGTATTCACTAACTGTAAGTCGCTCTGGATAAGGGCGTCTGCTAAATGACTAAAATGTAAATGTAAAATGTAAGGTGTGTTCGCAGAGGGGTGTGGTTTACATAGCTAGCTAGTCTACTGTTGCCAAAATTCCACTGCAGGGTGACATCAAATTACAGGTTTCTCCTATCAATCAATCAAATGTATTTATAAAGCCCTTTTTACATCAGCAGATGTCTCAAAGTGCTATACAGAAACCCAGCCCAAAACCCCAAACAGCAAGCAATGCAGATGTAGAAGCATGGTGGCTAGGAAAAACTCCCTAGAAAGGCAGAAACCTAGGAAGAAACCTAGAGAGGAACCAGGTTCTGAGGGGTGGCCAGTCCCCTTCTGGCTGTGCCGGGTAGAGATTATAACAGTACATGGCCATTAAGGCCAGATTTTTCTCCAAGATGTTCAAACCGTTCATAGATGGCCAGCAGGGTCAAATAATAATCACAGTGGTTGTAGAGGTTGCAACAGGTCAGTACATCAGGAGTAAATGTCACTTGTCTTTTCATAGCATTTAGAGGTTGAAATAGCAGGCGCGGTAGAGAGAGAGTTGAAAACAGCAGGTCTGGGACAAGGTAGCACAACCGGTGAACAGGTCAGGGTTCCATAGCCGCAGGCAGAAGAGTTGAAACTGGAACAGCAGCACGACCAGGTGTACTGGGGACAGCAAGGAGTCATCAGGCCAGGTAGTCCTGAGGCAAGGTCCTAGGACTCAGGTCCTCCGGGAGGGGAGGGAGAGAGGAAGACATTCATCTATGGCAAAGATACTTTCCCCTTTCATCTGTGTCTGGTGTTCGCTAGTTACTGGCTAGCTAGTTCTTCAGCCAGCATGGAACAAAAGGGGGGGGGGGGGAGTGTCGTTCAAAACTCAGACACAGTTGTCACATCAACATATCTGTCAGTGCTGCTGCAAACTGCAACAGAAGAGACATGCCAAATGGGAGATCTTGACATCATTGATAGTCATGGTTTATGAACATGGTCTGGCAGTCAACATAAATATTTTATGAGGCGTACCCAGACCTCAACCTGCCCAGTTTCAACTGAAATTGTCCAAGATGAACTAGCTAGCTAACTTCATGATCTCACTGCACAACGGCTCATTATGTCCAAGTTGCTTGACAAAAGTATTTCAAAGAACTGTCAGTCAAGGTGAGCTCCCCCCCACTCAGCCTATTAGCTCCCCGCACACTCAGCCTGTCTTTTCAGCCTTACTGATAGTTAGACATGAGAGAAAATTCTCAAATTCTAAGCATTTCTAAAATCGGTAAAAATATACAAGTCTATTTTACATGGTAATCTAGATGCCTGTGCGGGCCCCTTTAACAGGATATTTTGAAATGTGCCCTCTCATCCTGGTTTCTAATCAGATCAATCTCAAAAACAAGGTTCATATAAACATCAGTGTTATTGAAGAATCTGTTAGAATATGCTCATATATTTCACATCAAGAATGCCTGCTACTGTTAGCCTAGTCCCAGATCTGTTTGTGCCGTCTTGAATGTTTGTAGTGACAATGACCATAGGATTTGACAAGATGAACTGTGACTCCTCTCACCACATGGGTGCATTGAGCCGGTAGAGTTTTTCTGAAGCCTCAATGACCTTCCTGTGTTCGTTGGCCAGGATGCTGGCTCCCAGGTAGAAGCCTACGTCCCAGTAGTCCTGCATCTTCTCCAAGCTGCCCTTCCTCCCCAGCAGGCTGCTCAGGGTCACGCCTGGATACACACACAACAAACACACACACACAGATGGGCGCAAACAGACAGACAGACACAGGTTAGATAGTGAGAATATTATTAATATAGTTATAGTTTCAGTCTAACAGTATGGAATCGAAATGTAACAAACAACAAAAAGAGACATGACATGGCACAGAATCCCAAATAGAATAACAGTGGCATGCATTGATAAATAATGTAGGGGTGTAATTATTTAGTGTCCTTATGCAGGCTGTTAGTAATGATGATAGTGATTGGCAGGGAGTACAACTGCACCAACAATTAGCCCACACTCACTGCGGTTGATCACAGGCATAGATAAAAATATAAGGCAATTGTAGTTTACTTAAGCAATCAAACAAAACACAGCAGTTCCCTTTGACAGGCCACTGATTCAGGGCAGTGGAGTGTCAGTGAGAACAAGGTACCTATTTTGCGCAGCTCGATGGAGGTGTCAAATTCGTGGCCGGCAGCCATCAAGAGGACAATGTTGTTGATGCTGGAGTGAAGGGTTGGCTCTGTCTCGAAGGCTTTGCCGTACCTGGGGGAGAATCCATGAATGGAGATTAAAATGGATTAATTAATTAATACATATTGCTGCCTAGTCAATGAGCTGACCTAAGCAATGATTTGTTTAATAACAGTGTATCATATAGTATCAGATGTGTCAGTTGTCATAAGCCTGACACCAGGTGTCATGACTGTTTATGCCATCTGCTATGTCTTTATTCTAACAGTATTATGTAGCCTTTATGACAGAGGATTCAAGTAAAGTATAACTGAAAGGATGGAGGGAACTCAAAGGGATAACATAACATAGACTGATGTAGAGCCCTAGTAAGGAGGACTTGACTGGAGTGAGTGAAGGGATGCTGTGCATACGGTTTGCATATTAGGACGACTGACAAGTCCGAGTGCCTTTGACACCAACTCCTTGTGACTCTAAGGCTGTACTAATATGGACACCGTAATGGTGTGTCTCACCAGTAGCAGGCCTGGTCTCGACTGCGATGGTCTTTAAAGCCAGAGCTCATGAACATGTCTTTGTAGATACGGCCACAGAGGCAGTGCACGTCCGACGCCACCCTGCCACCTGACTCCACAATGGGCAGAATCACTTCCAGGGCCTTGGCACGGTCACCTGGACGATTCCTCCTGGAGGTCAAAGATTAGGAAACATTATGACAGATGGAATCCTGAGAATTAACAGCCTGTGTTGTGCTGCAAGTTAAAGTGTTGTGTGACAACTAGTACAATTCTTGAAGAAAATCTGTGTGCTTGCTTCAGCCGTCTAAAATCATAAAGATAGGGAAAAACAGTAGTGTGCTTTCAGCAAGCCCACTAATTAAGTGTTAAAATGGGGGTTGGCTTTAACCCATTTAGTGTTGTATACACATTATTTCCTTCTATGATATAATGTGAAAGACTATCGGTCAAACAGAATATGTGCGCAATACACAAATGGAGCAACAATGGTACCTGTTTAAAGCAAATATGTAGTGAAATTTGATATTCTGCTGGGCTGCCACCAAGCACATGGGCAAGTTGTTCAGGGTCTCTACCAGTTTGATAATGGCATCGTAGTCCTGAAGTCAGAAAGAGGACAGGATTATAGAAAACCCTTCATCAACATTATAATAACATCTCTGATTTCAATGCATTATAAAATTAGGCATGGCTACACACACCTTTAACATTTTTAATAGACATTCCCTCAAAATTGATTTAATTTAACCCCTGCAGTACTTGTAATACATGCATGTAGGGTTGGGCGATGTCAACCTTTGTTCTATCGTGATTAAGTAGCCATTAAAAATTGTGATATAAAATTAATAACTCCTCTATTGGCCAACCCAAATATATATATATATATATATACACAGTGGGGAGAACAAGTATTTGATACACTGCCGATTTTGCAGGTTTTCCTACTTACAAAGCATGTAGAGGTCTGTAATTTTTATCATAGGTACACACCAACTGTGAGAGACGGAATCTAAAACAAAAATCCAGAAAATCACATTGTATGATATTTAAGTATTAATTTGCATTTTATTGCATGACATAAGTATTTGATCACCTACCAACCAGTAAGAATTCCGGGTCTCACAGACCTTTTAGTTTTTCTTTAAGAAGCCCTCCTGTTCTCCACTTATTACCTGTATTAACTGCACCTGTTTGAACTCGTTACCTGTATAAAAGACACCTGTCCACACACTCAAACAGACTCCAACCTCTCCACAATGGCCAAGACCAGAGAGCTGTGTAAGGACATCAGGGATAAAATTGTAGACCTGCACAAGGCTGGGATGGGCTACAGGACAATAGGCAAGCAGCTTGGTGAGAAGGCAACAACTGTTGGCGCAATTATTAGAAAATGGAAGAAGTTCAAGATGACGGTCAATCACCCTTGGTCTGGGGCTCCATGCAAGATCTCACCTCGTGGGGCATCAATGATCATGAGGAAGGTGAGGGATCAGCCCAGAACTACACGGCAGGACCTGGTCAATGACCTGAAGAGAGCTGGGACCACAGTCTCAAAGAAAACCATTAGTAACACACTACGCCGTCATGGATTAAAATCCTGCAGCACACGCAAGGTCCCCCTGCTCAAGCCAGCGCATGTCCAGGCCCGTCTGAAGTTTGCCAATGACAATCTGGATGATCTAGAGGAGGAATGGGAGAAGGTCATGTGGTCTGATGAGACAACAATAGAGCTTTTTGGTCTAAACTCCACACGCCGTGTTTGGAGGAAGAAGAAGGATGAGTACAACCCCAGGAACACCATCCCAACCGTGAAGCATGGAGGTGGAAACATCATTCTTTGGGGATGCTTTTCTGCAAAGGGGACAGGACGACTGCACCGTATTGAGGGGAGGATGGATGGGGCCATGTATCGTGAGATCTTGGCCAACAACCTCCTTCCCTCAGTAAGAGCATTGAAGATGGGTCGTGGCTGGGTCTTCCAGCATGACAACGACCCGAAACACACAGCCAGGGCAACTAAGGAGTGGTTCCGTAAGAAGCATCAAGGTCCTGGAGTGGCCTAGCCAGTCTCCAGACCTGAACCCAATAGAACATCTTTGGAGGGAGCTGAAAGTCCGTATTGCCCAGCGACAGCCCCGAAACCTGAAGGATCTGGAGAAGGTCTGTATGGAGGAGTGGGCCAAAATCCCTGCTGCAGTGTGTGCAAACCTTGTCAAAACCTACAGGAAATGTATGATCTCTGTAATTGCAAAGAAAGGTTTCTGTACCAAATATTAAGTTCTGCTTTTCTGATGTATCAAATACTTATGTCATGCAAGAAAATGCAAATTAATTACTTAAAAATAACAACTCACAGTTGAAGTGTACCTATGATAAAAATTACAGACCTCTACATGCTTTGTAAGTAGGTAAACCTGCAAAATCGGCAGTGTATCAAATACTTGTTCTCCCCACTGTACATATAATATATATATATATATATATATATATATATATATATATATATATATATATATATATATATATATATATCTATATATATATATATATATATATATATATATATATATATATATATATATATATTTGTTTTTTTTTATTATTTTTTTTTATTATGAGTTATAAAAAAGGGTTATGGGTTGTACGCAACTCTGCTGTCCCAAGAACTGGATAATTATTCAATGATTTGCATGTTTGCCTAATCTTCCTCTCTTATTAAGCCTAGGCTTCTATACGTTGTAGGTAGGTTCTATACATTGCTAATAATAGGCTATTGAAATACAGTGAGGGAAAAAGTATTTGATCCCCTGCTGATTTTGAAAGTTTGCCCACTGACAAAGACATGATCAGTCTATAATTTTAATGGTAGGTTTATTTGAACAGTGAGAGACAGAATAACAACAAAAAAATCCAGAACAACGCATATTATTATTATTATGTCAAAAATTGTATAAATTCATTTGCATTTTAATGAGGGAAATAAGTATTTGACCCCCTCTCAAATCAGAAAGATTTCTGGCTACCAAGTGTATTTTATACAGGTAACGAGCTGAGATTAGGAGCACACTCTTAAAGGGAGTGCTCCTAATCTCAGCTTGTTACCTGTATAAAAGACACCTGTCCACAGGAGCAATCAAATTCCAAACTCTCCACCATGGCAAAGACCAAAGAGCTGTCCAAGGATGTCAGGGACAAGATTGTAGACCTACACAAGGCTGGAATGGGCTACAAGACCATCGCCAAGCAGCTTGTTGAGAAGGTGACAACAGTTGGTGCGATTATTCGCAAATGGAAGAAACACAAAATAACTGTCAATCTCCCTCGGCCTGGGGCTCCATGCAATATCTCATCTCGTGGAGTTGCAATGATCATGAGAACGGTGAGGAATCAGCCCAGAACTACACGGGAGGATCTTGTCAATGATCTCAAGGCAGCTGGGACCATAGTCACCAAGAAAACAATTGGTAACACACTACGCCGTGAAGGACTGAAATCCTGCAGCGCCCGCAAGGTCCCCCTGCTCAAGAAAGCACATATACAGGCCCGTCTGAAGTTTGCCAATGAACATCTGAATGATTCAGAGGAGAACTGGGTGAAAGTGTTGTGGTCAGATGAGACCAAAATCGAGGTCTTTGGCATCAACTCAACTCGCCATGTTTGGAGGAGGAGGAATGCTGCCTATGACCCCAAGAACACCATCCCCACTGTCAAACATGGAGGTGGAAACATTATGCTTTGGGGGTGTTTTTCTGCTAAGGGGACAGGACAACTTCACCGCATCAAAGGGACGATGGACGGGGCCATGTACCGTCAAATCTTGGGTGAGAACCTCCTTCCCTCAGCCAGGGCATTGAAAATGGTTCGTGGATGGGTATTCCAGCATGACAATGACCCAAAACACACGGCCACGGCAACAAAGGAGTGGCTCAAGAAGAAGCACATTAAGGTCCTGGAGTGGCCTAGCCAGTCTCCAGAACTTAATCCCATAGAAAATCTGTGGAGGGAGCTGAAGGTTCGAGTTGCCAAACGTCAGCCTCGAAACCTTAATGACTTGGAGAAGACCTGCAAAGAGGAGTGGGACAAAATCCCTCCTGAGATGTGTGCACTACTACAAGAAATATCTGACCTCTGTGATTGCCAACAAGGGTTTCGCCACCAAGTACTAAGTCATGTTTTGCAGAGGGGTCAAATACTTATTTCCCTCATTAAAATGCAAATCAATTTATAACATTTTTGACATGCGTTTTTTCTGGATTTTTTTGTTGTTATTCTGTCTCTCACTGTTCAAATAAACCTACCATTAAAATTATAGACTGGTCATGTCTTTGTCAGTGGGCAAACGTACAAAATCAGCAGGGGATCAAATACTTTTTTCCCTCACTGTAGGCCTACTCTACACATCATTTCTTTCATAAGCTTTGCTCAGCTGTAAGTTTCCTTTTGACTTCTCATTAGATTTTTCCATCAGAATATTGTTTGCTCAGTTTCACTTCTTCTTGCCTGTAATATTTGCCATTCAAAATAATCTGTTATAGAAAATGACCTATACACTGACTGTTCCCATTTGAAAGCTTTAACTTTAGGACATTAAAACACTTTATTAGTATGGCCTACTTGGGAAATATTCTTTATAACCTACTAATGCTTTTGATAGGCTATTTTAATTAGTAGGATTTGGCCTTTGGCCGTTTGGTTCGCAACGGCAAGTAGGAGAGATGAATCATTTACTTTAGACCAGGGGTGTCAAACGTCCGGCCCGCATCAGGCCCGCAAACGGGTTTAATCCAGCCCGCGAGATGATTTTGTAAAGTATAAAAATGCGCTGCAATTTTACAATAAAATAAACTGCTGTTCCAATTGCGTCCACTGGATGGCGCAATAGCAATTGTGTTAAGCAAGCAAACTGTTTATACCGGGGCAGAGCAAGTAGGTCAAGCAAGTGCAGCCAGTCCGGATGAGCTACTTTGATTTGCCCGCGATATTTATTACGGCTTCTACTTTTAACATTATGTGCTTTGGCACCCTCATTGCCCCAATATGTCTCTGTCAAAAAAGAGAAAAGTGGACGCAGAGTGTCATCCTCCTATTTATTCACAGAATTGAATGGGAAAGCTGTATGTTTGGTGTGTTCACAGCATTTTGCAGTGCTGAAAGAATATAACCTTCGTCGCCACTATGTGAGTCTTAATGCCGACAAATATGACAACTTTCAAGGACAGCGGAGAAGAGAGAAGGTGAATGAACTGTTGGCGGGTCTGAAGAAACAGCAGTCTGTGTTTACTCACATCCGAGACAGTGACGCTGCAGTGAAAGCTAGCTACCTCATTGCTATTGAAATCGCAGTGGCTTCAAAACCATTTAGTGAGGGTGAATTTGTAAAAACATGCATGATGAAGGCAGCGGAGAAGAGAGAAGGTGAATGAACTGTTGGCGGGTCTGAAGAAACAGCAGTCTGTGTTTACTCACATCCGAGACAGTGACGCTGCAGTGAAAGCTAGCTACCTCATTGCTATTGAAATCGCAGTGGCTTCAAAACCATTTAGTGAGGGTGAATTTGTAAAAACATGCATGATGAAGGCAGCGGAGATTGTGTGCCCTGAAAAGCGCCAGGCTTTTGCAAATATCAGCCTGACAAGAAACACAGTTGCAGACAGAATTTTCGATCTTTCAGTGGATTTGAACAGCCAGTTGAAGCAAAAAGTAGTCATTT